TCTCTCTCTCTCTCTCTCTCTCTCTCCATCGATCTCTCTCTCTCTTTATCTGCTTCTTTCTCTCATCGTTGATTTCTCTGTTATACTTCTGACTGAATCATGAGTGTACTGGAAGTAGACAGGGACTTTGACCATGTCAGGGCTGAGCACCTCTGAAGTAAACCTGTAGATTCCCTCATGTTCAGTAGCTGACTGGTGGGATGGACATATTGCTGTGCTCTGGTCCCTCTATATCTTTCCAGTGTCTAACTATCGTAATCTTTTCCTCTGGTATGGTTTGCTCCTTCTGTCATTCCATGTATTGTCCTTATCTCACCTACTTCTCTTTTTTTGTATGTTACTTTATGGTAACGCTTCTGATTTTCAGCGTTTACATGACCTATTTGTGCTTCAAGTGCCCTAATACTTGTAAATTTGTACAAAAACTAAATTAATCTGTTCCTGGCACTATAATATGGCCGTCACAATGGTGGCTGGAGGTAAAGTACTGGTCAGTTGAACCTATTAAAATGTTCCCAGGTCCATCAAGCTTTGGACAACGTCCTGTGTCAGTCGTCAGTCCGCAATGACGTCACAATGAGGATTGTCAGGCAGCAGGACAAGATGAGGGAGATGACGCGTCACGTGACGTTCCTGGAATCTCATCTCATGACGGCCATGAAATCTCTCCGACAGGCCGAGGTCAGCTCTCTCAGACTTCTTTTTATTTTTGTTATTTGTTTTTTTTTAATTTGTTTAAAGCCAGAAATCAAAATAGGAATAAAAATGTTTAAGGTTTTTTAGAAACGAGAGAACTTGCTCTTTGTATCATGGTAAAGTATCAGCGTGGGTGGTTGGCAAGTGCTCTGGTATCTCCCCTCCTTCTTTTATGTGTTTGTTGTTTTCTTGTAACACCTTTAATCTTCGGCACTTATATGACCTTATTGTGTTGCAAGTGCCGTAAAACTCTTACTAAACTAAAATAATAGCTCTTGCCAAGTACTTTCAGATCAAGTATACTTGACAAGTATCAATTACAAAAAGTTCATTGTTCCAAGGACCTCAGGGACCTAAGTTCAATGTTTAAGTGTCTGTGTATATGTGGTATCGATGGTGCCGTGGTTTAGCTATCAGACTCTTAACCATGAGGTTGCCAGATCGGGGGTTGAGACTCAAGCCCAAAGTTGTGTCCTCGGGGAAAAGCAACTTTGCTTGAATTTTCCTTACTTCACCCAAGTGTGAAAGAGTACCCGACTTGTGACAGCGAATGATCTTGTCAGTAGGTTAGTGTTTTAGAGCCTGTAAAATGGCAGTATGCACTGTATTCTTCCCATGATGTTGAGATTGTTTCAGAATGCTCTCAGTTCTGCTGGGATGGATTGTAAAGAGCACAGAGTTTGCTGTTGAGCTGGAATTTGTAGTATGTTATTTTTTAAATGCTGTTTATTTATTATCATCTAAATTGCCTGTTTGTCTCCCTTGTACAGGAGAGACTGCGTCAGTCCAGCGACATCAGCCATAACTTGTCTCATTTCGTGGCCATAAACAGCAAACACTTGAAGGGGAACACAAAGGATGATCTCAGTAAATTAGCAGGTACAAATCATTATTGTTCAAGATAAGATCAAATGAGATAAGAATGAAATAAGAATAAGATAAGGAAGATAAGATTTGATTAGGTATAATAAGAATAAGATAAGATAAGATAAGAATGAGATAAGAATAAGATAAGATAAGAATGAAATAAGAATAAGATAAGACAAGATAAGATAAGAATGAAATAAGAATAAGATCAGATAAGAATGAGATAAGAATAAGATAAGAAAAATAAGGTTAGATAAGATAAGTTGCATTGATCTACGAAATGAATTTTGGATGGAAATACCAGACCATCAACATGCACAATTTCCTTGTCAATCATTGATATCTCAAAGAAAATATAATTATAGACTGTGTCATGACACAATCAGGAGTCAAGTGCTCATCGATTTTTGGACTCAGATTTATTGGTATCGTCTTAATTCTTATAATTTATTACATGCTTTAAATTATTATTATTATTGTT